TATTATATACCATCTATTCGATTAGTTGCGAGCTTGTGTCAATGGCATCATTCATAAATAATATTCTATCCGAGAACCCAGGGAGCTGGCACGACTTCAACGAGTATGGGATAATGATGAAACAACGATGATTATTCGAAGAGATACCTATGCCTGCAGCTGCTACCTCTCTCGTGGAAAAGGGTGCATCCATTCCACTGCTATGAGGATCCTAGAAGGGGAGATAGTGGAGTTCCGAGCAGAAGATCATATGCCCCTGCTGCCCAGGGCTAAGGGAAGACCTAAGTAAGCAGCCCAATTTCAACACAATTAGTCTATAGTATCAGGTATTACTATTGATTCTTTACTAATATTATTTATTATATTATAATCTTATAGGAATGTTATGGATGTATCAACGAGTGAATATATCTCCCAGCATTATGAGAATATTGCATTACTATGATAATACAACACATCAAATATATAAGTTATAATTATTATACCCTATTAATCAATAGCCGAATATTACATCATTGATATATTGATATCATTAATACATCTTAATATGATAGTGGGTATATATATTATTTATATACTGACATACATTACCATATTCCCATGATTATACCATATTGTATAAAAAATATATTCAAGTGAAAGGATGTGAAAGGAGTGCTGCTTGGGAGAAAACTAAATTGATCAGATATAATGGTATAAAAGATAATATACTAATATCTATCCCATATCTATAATACAACTATATATTCATCTACATGGAATTGTAGGGATATCTCTAATAGTTAAAGTAGTGCGTGTAGACACGCACTGTCGTTGGCAAACTCACTAAATGTCACTCAAACTCTGTGTCACCTTAACATCATTATATCAACATAGCATAGTAGCTAGGCTAGACCTTGGCACAGATGCAAGATATTGAGCAAAGTGGACGCCGAGGATCACGAGTAGAGGAGAGAAATGTCCCAAGCATTAAGTAATCCGTTCGGCACGCTGAGTGTCTTTGCCTCGTCGGTACATGTAGGGTCGGTTCTCACAGAACCACCACCCTATCAGTCTGATAGTATCAGACCTACACGATGAGGAGTGGGATGTTTAATAACTTTTGGACATCAAATTGAAGTTCTGATACGAATTCATAACACAGTATTAGAGAAGTTGAGTTGTCACTGCATGGGAGCCTCCCATTGGGAGGCGACCTCTCCAATAACTTGCGTGTTTCAATTTGAACTCACCAGTGTCTAGTTGTGAGGGATAAGTCAAGAGCAACCAAGGAACCCCCTCCCCCACGATGACAGTCAAATTGGTATCAAGGAAGCACTGTTGCCTTTTGCACGGTCATCATCAGCTGATCTAGAACCAAGATCATTGATATCGGTCTCTATTTACCGAGTGAAACACCGAACACAACTAGCATGAAATCACAACTGTGCAGTGCTGAGTATCACGGTTAACCCAACACCGTGTCACAGCGAGAAACCAAACAGTAAATCATCGCACGCTATATAAAAGTGGCAGAGCTCGACGGCCTTCGCAACACGCAAGCCCTCGCTGTCCCCACTAGCTAGGGAGCATGCTATTTCCCGAATAGACGAGGAAGGCCACGTTTTGTTTTTCACAGTGTGCGTTATTCAGTTTTAATAGCATTCTTACTGGCAGCCAAGCATATGGCATTCGACCACACTGTCCCTTACAGATGCACGCGGAAACTCAATGAAATGTATCGGTTACGCTATGTTGGCCATGCTGGCCTTCGGAGTCACCAACTACCTTATTGGGTAGGTATGGGAAAATGTGCACATAGTCAACTACATGCCTTGGTGACAATTGGGGAATTGTAGGGTAGCCTTGTTGGTTCCAGTACACTTCTACCCGAATTCGTATGTAAACTTTTCCTGAGCTCAGCTGAGGAAAGCGAACAAAATTCCAACACCGTGTTTCAGTGCCAAAGTTGTCCATGGTCAGGTACGCTACGAGCAGTTTGGAAGGTTCAGTCGAGACATTCTATGCAGTTGGCGCCGAATGGAAAATGATGGTCATCTTGTGGCTCTCTGGAGGTGTTCCCGGTAGGTTTCCCGAGTACCACGAACGATCTCAAGGCTTCATTTCCCAGGTCTAGTTTGCTACATTGCTCATTGGATGCATGTTGGCAAAATCGAGTTCTTCTGGGCAGATACTGAGAGCAACTCAGCTAACATCACCGTGTTGTCGAAGCTCTTAACACTAATGGGAGGAGTTGGTTTGGGCGTCTCTGTTAGCTTCATGAAGAAGGCCTTCGTATTTTCCTCCCCGGCTGACAAAGGTAACTCTTTGTTCGCCAGCACAGCATCATCGATGATGCTGTTACGGGTCAGGTCCGATAAGTGCTATAGTTGGCTCTACGATAATCATCGTCAGTTTGTATGGTCATTTCGTTTTCCGTGAACTTCTCAGTAAACGCCACGCTCTTCTGATAGGAATCGTAACGTCGTCACATACCGTCTGCCACACAAAAATCTGTCCCTCGTTTCAGGTTGTCGCAGGCGTCCTCATATCAGCCTTCAGTCCAGGTGGTCCGACTCAAGTCGAAAACGAAGTGGCTGCAGCAGAAACCACAGGACACGCTGCTCTTGGGTTCGGCTTTGCGGTGGTTTTTCCTCATGATTCGGGATGCCTCCTACATCGCTTTTACTAGGTCCTCTCTATGATAGGCATGGCCGCGACTACTATAATGATCCGTTACAGTTCAATTGGTGAGCTATTAACTCCCGCCTTCTCTCCATCCTCGTGCTCAGGTCATGTATCAACTTGGAGTGGGTATTCAGCACGACTGTTGGCCCAGTCTGCGCTTGCACTCTTCGTCGGATACATCTTCGTGAAGAGTGATGATGGCGGCGAGTTGCCAGTGACTATCCTGCCCAACGAGGTCGTCATTCTGTCAGTTGTCGCTGGGTTTATGCAGGCAAGTTCTTCAATAAGTTCTCTCGTGTTGGTATTCTATGTTTCTAGTCCTTTGGGTTCTTAGCTCTGAATATAGCCCTGAGCTTCCCATCAACAAGTCTGGTGAATGTTATTGTTTCGGCCAACTCCATTGTCGTCTTGGGTCTCAACTTTGCTGTGGATGGTCTCCTACCACACCCCACTCAACTCGTTGGAATGGCCGTCATTATGCTTGGTGTGATGCTGTGCACATTAGCCCCACCGCCAGTATGTCAAGGCACTCTAAGCTTGAACAAACCACTATTGAAAACCTCAGATGTTGACTCCGCGTAGAATGCGTGGTTTTTCTTCTCATTTCTGGTATGTCGATTCGTTCACTTACGCTTTCTGGGCTGAGAATTTCAGTGCCGTCTATTTCTGATCTCGAGTAATGTGTGAACTTTATCTCGCTGCCAACGAAGTGTTCATGTGCTATTGTTATGCCTGTCTCAATTCTGGACCATGTCGTATGGTCATGATTTACTATTTACCATCTCTGTTATTGCCCAACAAGCAAGTCAAGGACGACTTTTTTCTCATTCTCATCGGTTACTAGGTGTTTCAATTTAACTCGTTTCTACAGCTGAGGTTTAGTGTTCAAGTGTGATAGTAGGGACAATGCTTTATCAATGTAAAGTGCTCGCCCTCGCAGGGAATGTTATGTTAATATCTCTTGAACGAAAACGATGCAAATTACTAAGTATAGAGAAGACAAGGTCGGCTTTTCATTGATCGTCCGTCTCAAGATTCTGTTACCGTCGTACGCTAATTACAGCCTCGATTCAGTTGTACGTTGCTATCCAATCAGCTCGGTATTACGTTCTGGGCTGCGGAACTCATTCCATGATTTTTACAGCTTCGTGTTGCTGCGAGTTGGTCTTTATGCTATTAACAACTAAAGTGTGCACCAACATTCGACTGGTCCTCGGGTTGTTGTGTAGTTATGGATGGAAGGGCTGAACATACGACAATAGAGATTACATAGCTCACATTTGTTGACCCACCGCGCGCTACAGAGCGAATGCTGAACGACGAATAGTGATCTACGTCTTACATGGGAGCTCCATTAATTTTGACGTTAGATATACGAGTTAGTGATGAAAGTGACTACTCACCAGTTCAAGGTCTCCCCTTGGTGATAGTCATGTCACTCAGCAAACTCGACAGTCTGCGCTTGGCAAATATATCTACGGCACCGTAGTTCCTCTAATACTATCACGAACCTCCTAGAAATATCACTCGCGCACGATATGGTGTATATAATCTACGATCCGAGCTAGAACAGTTGTCCAAGGGCTGATCCGAAATGATCAAGTCTTCACTAACGGCTGTTGACGTTGGACTCGCCGTTCTTCTGAAGGACGATCACTGAAGCATGAACTGTCGTCAATAATGCCAGTTCTCCGATTGGAAGCTATTTGAGTAACTCATAAGAACATCTCTGTCGTTGAACACAGATGGCAGCAAATGCCAACGGGTTGACCCAGTACAGACGAAGCTAGGAGACGCCCTGGAAATTCCTACGGGTACCACAACGAAGCTAGGAAACACAGCAGATGTAAAATGAACTGTATGTCCTTATGTCCAAATTATATCTAGTTTGTGTGAGTTGCGTCTTTGATAGTTTATGAACAGTATCATTCATGGAGTTACTACGCAATAAAGCCTCCAAACAAACCGACACTTCCACTGGCTTAGCAACATGTGTCGGTTTTTCCACTATTGGCCTGATTGGTTATGGCCTGTTCAACTACTTTGTTGGGTAAGTGAGGACTCGGTTCCCTTCGAAGTGGTCGAACATCGTTAGTGTCACGTTTGACTTGACTCGTTTCTTGGACATTTCTGTCCACAATCGAATATTTGAGTTCCTTGCAGGTACACAGGTGGCCTCATTGCTGATGAAGTCGACATCGAGAACTTGCAGACAGCCCAGTGGCAGATGCTGATCATCATGTGGCTGGTTGGTGGCCTGCCAGGTAACGCCTCCATTGGAAGCCTCCATCCCCATCATAAACGATAGTGTGATGGCTGCATTAGCTTCCTCTTAGGTTTAGTCTGCTATTTCTCTCACTGGGTGGTATGTGGCCGTGTGGAATTCATCTGGAGCAAGTCGACTTATGCTGACTCCATCACTACGATGACTAAACTCCTCACATTTTCTGAAGGCGTCATCCTTGCAGTGTCGTCTACCCTCGTCAAGCAAGCGTTTGCGTTCTCTTCACCAGCCGATAAAGGTATAATCTGACCTGCTCAGCGTCACTGTCCGGTGACCGTGAATTTTGTCTGTCCTAGGTCCTGTAGCCGCTATAGTTTGTTCGACGGTCGTCACTGTAAGTATGTATGGCCACTTCGTCTTTCGAGAACGGCTTGGTTGGTCCCACGTGTTTCTCATCATCATGGTGAGCTCAGATATATTTCCATGTCTGTTGTTCCTCATCACATTCATCATCAGGTAGTTGCTGGTATGATAGTATCAACTCTCAGCGGTGATTCTGTCCATTCCACAAGTGATGCTTCTCCTAGTCATTCTCAACCACTACTTGGCTTCTTATTTGCGATCTTGGCTATGACTGGAATGTCTACATTGACGTTACTCATGCGGTATAGCTCCATTGGTGAGTTTATTCGGGGATACGTACATACCACCCTTCTGATACTTCTTGCCGTATCTTCCTCGCTCGTCTCTTTACTCTGATCTTCTTGTTAGCAGCCTACCTTTAGACTGATTGCTAAGACTTGAATCGGTGTTCAGGTAACGTTGCTACACGTAGTGGTTACTCAGCCCTACTGTTAACACAATTTTGTGTAGCACTCCTGTTAGGAGGCGCACTGATTTGCAGAGGTCAAACTACTTTGCATGTTACTGGAATAGCCTTAGCGACCACTGTGATCGGTGGATTGTCCCAGGTAGCTCACTCGATTCAGATATGTTGGATCCTCAAATGTTGTTTCAGTCGATTGGTATTTTCGCTATGAACGAAGCACTTGCGTATCCAATGACGAGCTTGGTGAACGTCATATGCTCTGCTAATCCAGTTATCGTTCTGGTCCTGAATCTCGTCGTGGACGGTTTGATTCCAGGAGCCACACAGTTGAGTGGTATGGCCGTCATACTTCTCGCAGTTTTCGTGAGTGCGCTCATACCTCCAAAGGCTATGGAGGAGTCGACTCGAAGAACTGTCGGGAAACCTGCCCCTCACGGCCTGGGAGATCCTCTTCTCGTTGAGTCAAAGATACCAGTCTGAGTGGACTGGAGCTGTCGTTGTCTTAGTATCGAAAATCATTGGGAACTTACCATTGTTGTATGATGGACCATTCGATATGTCGAGCCTTCTCTCATACTTTTGTTAGCAACGGACCGAGGTAGATGTCGCTTCAGTATGACCTTTCCTATTTCTCCTGCTACCGCTTTCAACTCAAACTTTAATCGAGCTGTCTCTCATTTAATTGTTAACATATGTTCCATCATTTGACCGAAATGTTATAGGTATAATGTATCTGAATATTTGTGGTTGTTGAGTTGGGATGTTCACCATGTATCTCGTCAACATTCTACCGAATAGAATTCTGCCACGGTTGTACAGTGCGATCTGCACCAATACTACAGGTTCGGCTAGGTTAGTGTTGATTGGTTGTAATACACCTGTGGAAGCTGACAAGACTCTTGTCAGCTTCCACAGAGGTCTCATTCTCGTTTCCCCTCGGTTGGCGCACAATGAAGGAAAGAGTATCAGGTTGAGGCTATGAATGAAGACTGACTCAACCATCTTCATCATTGAGGATATCATCGCCTCGCCAACATCGAGCTCATCTTCACCGCACACCAGCTTATCGCGAAATGACATTCAACCCGACAGCTTATATTGTGAGTGTTACCGAGCGAGTGTGAGTGAGTCAATCTATCGGCACAGGAGAAATTGACTCCTGTCATTCCTGTTGCCTATGGATTATTCCCTTTGTCCCACCTCCCTCAGCCACGCTGGAATGAGTCACTCATTATTAGTGTGATAACCTTATGGTACTGCGGTTTCATTAAGCCCTCGTCACATTAGTTACACCTCATGTTTTATATACTCTCTCGTTCCGTCAACACGATAGTGTGGCAAGTCAACCCGTTACTAGCGTGAGTAGCCATTCGTGACTGAATTCGTCCGAAGATGTGATGATCGAGTGCGGGTCTATAGTTGTATAAACTGATCGACTTACCAACTCGATTTCTATCATAAAAAGTGGAAGTGTGTCCGTCGTCTGTTCCCCATGCTACTCAACACTCAAGACCAAACACAACTCCGAACCGTGGGATATTTGAAATATAATGTAAAGCTTCCCGCGCTCTACGACGCACGTGCGCAAAGCCCGTGCTCAATAGTCAGCTGAATAGACTGCAGTGCAGTGGAGTATGAATACCCACCGCTTGCAGAAAATGAGAGTTTTGAAGTAGAAGGGTAAGGCCGCAACAGATGCTACCAAGAGTGATCGCTGGAGGATCTATCTCGTAGTAGTAGGAGCGGCTGTAGTAGCCGGAGCGGCTGTAGTAGCCGGAGCGGCTGTAGTAGCCGGGGCGGCTGTAGTAGCCGGACGGGCTGTAGTAGACGGGGCGGCTGTGGTGGTATCTAGAACTAAAGTTCCGAGAGTGCTGTAGCCGAGAAGGGGGCATACCATTGCTGCTGCATCCTTCCCAGAGGGCAGCATAGATGATGGCGACTGCGAATGTCAGGAAGATTTTCATTGACAATACCGATAGAGCTGCTACAATATAGTTCGAACCATTCATGTCCCTCTTGGCCAAGACTACAGCTCAGTGGTACTTGGGCCGCTCAGACATCGAATGGCTCCGCATATCCGCTGTGTTGAGTGTTGACGCATGTCCTGTATACGCGTGCAACGTGCGCCATAACTTGGGTTCTCAGGCTTCCGAGTTCTTGGGTAAGGCTAGTAAGCTCGAATGCCAAGTGGAGCAATTTGGCCATTACCGAGCTGTGGATCATGCGTTTACTCATAACTAACTTTCTCTGGGTCAATACTCATCAGCTGATGATTCCTCTGCTACACACGTCACCTCCCTCAACTCCGACAGTGGTAAATCGCTGGATACGATCTTACTAACACGCACTTTGTCTACTGGAGTGATAAGCCCGACATCCATCAGTCTAGAGATACCGAGTCCGTGGTTTTACGCAGTTGCAGTGACGACAGTGTGATCAACTAAAATACCATTTGAGCTCACACAGCTTAGGATACAATTAAACACTTTAAGACAAGCACGTGTGTACATGTGCTTGCGTACACCACTCTTAATACACGAGTCTGTCCGTGAGACTTCTCGTAGGGTCGGTCACGATCATTTTGAAGATAAATCCCGAGACAAGTCTCAAAATCATTCCTAGGACTGGCTTATGGTCTTGATCAACCCTGAGAATCCCATACTAGGGTCGACCTCGAGTTTCAAGATCAGTTTTTCAAACACAACGAGTTTCACGAGTTGAGTGCACGCAATCACATGTGCACACGTGCTTGTCTAACTGTGTTCCATAGTATCCTCCATTGTGTGAGCTTGTATGGCATCTTAGATCTCATACTATCAGTACGGTAACTGCGATGAATCTCAGGATCAATATTTCTAGCTTGATTAACGTTTACTTCATCAGCTCAGCACGAAAAGCGCGAGTTAGTGAGATCGTATTCAGCGATTTACCATTGTCGGAGTTGAGGGAGATGATGTATGTAGCAGAGAAATCATCAGATGATGAGTATTGAAGACAGAGAAAGGTAAATATGAGTAAACGCATGATTCACAGCTCGGTAATGCCCAAATTGTTTTGCACGGCATCCGAGGTTACTAGCCTTACCCAAGAACTCGGAAGCCTGAGAACCCAAGTTATGACGCACGTTGCACGCGTATACAGGACATGCGTCAACAATCAACACAGCGGATATGCGGAGCCAGTGGATGTCTGAGGGGCGCAAGTACCACTGAGCTGGAGTCTTGGCCAAGAGGGACATGAATGGTTCGAACTATCTTGTTGCAGCTCTATCGGTACGGTCAATGAAAATCTTCCTGACCTTCGCAGTCGTCATCATCTATGCTGCCTTCTGGGAAGGATGCAGCAGCAATGGTATGCCCCGTTCTCGGCTACAGCACTCGAACCTTTAGTTTCAGATACCACCACAGCCGCCCC